GTTTGAGGCAACATATACTTTTGAATTTCAACGCTACATGACACATACAATCAAAAGAGACCTTACTGGAGTTCATACAGGCTTTGGAAACTGCTGCATACTTATGCAGTAAATGCAATGTGCTGCCAGGAGTTGTGTATCTTAAGATACATGACAACACGTACAAAAGCAATATATGGCAGGTATCCTTTGTTAAGAGCTCTTGACAAAGTATTTTGGTAGAATTTTTATTTGTATATAGACCAAAAAAACAACACTCTGTTATAAGCAACGTCAAACACAACAATTAGGAAATGCCAAAATTAAGGTTGCCTGTGAACATTAATTTGACTTTCCTGTTCATATGCATTATGAAACCATTTTTAATTATGTGATCATGTCCTGTCTTTTTCCTCTGCCTTCAAATCAGGCAGCTTCCTCTATCCACAATGTGTGGGTGTGGGCAGGAGGATCATGGAGAGATGGGCTCCCTGTTCTATGGTCTGGGGCCCAGGCTCATGTCAGCACTGAGCACCTGGAAGTAGCCATTAGAGGGAAAGTTTGGCTTCACCTCGTTAGCCCTGTGCTGGAGTGAGAGTGCTCATTTATACTGTGGGATTGTCCGTATCCAGTCTGTTCAACGCTAGGATATGTGAAGGGCTTGAATATGCTAAGTGAAAATGGAATCTTAGGAGACTTTAGCTGCTACATTCTAAGAAGTCTATACCGAGCATATGCAAATGTGACTTTTCAAAGACTTATAACTTGGTTAAATTTGGGTGGATTTCCATGGGGATGGCAAAGGCTACATCTCTGAGACATAGGTCAAATTTCAAGTCTTTTTTTTAAAACTAACTTTTACAAAACACTCAAATCACAGTAACCCGTACTGTGTCATCACTTATCAACAAGCATTCCTAACAATCTTAGTTGCAATGCACTTCTGTATCAAAGGTACCCAAATTCAAGGTTTTCATCCACTTACTTCCTTCAGTCTTGATGTGTTGACTCTTTCCTTCCCTCCCATTCTGATGAGCAAAAACTGAAAGCCTGCTGCTAACATAGGACCCTGTCTCCAGAAGCCCAGCTTATTCAAATTAACCCTTAATTATTTGGTGTTCTATTTTATGAATTCAGGGTGGCATGTGAGGTCTCTACCAGGAGCCAATAGCCCACTGGTCCACCAGTCATTGCAAAATGTATGTACGGCTAATGTTTAAAGAATTATGTATCTGCACTGAAAACTATTTCTCTAAGGTGTGTGAGTTTAAAGCAGATCACCAGAAGGTAATAAACATGCTCCTGTCAGGTACAAAGGGAGAGATACTTATCTTTCTCTGTGTAGTCATGTGTATATTGTGTATTGTACACTTCACAATGGAGATCTATTTGCGTTACTGAGCCTGGTGCTAATGAAAAGATTGCAGAATCACATGAAAGAGAGAGGAAAAACTGCAGGAACAAAACCAAAATACCAGGGATGGGGGTGTCTACTTGAGTAAAGACAATGGGGGGGTATATCTGGGGTTACTGAGGTAGATCCTGAATCTTTCACCGAGGAGACAAACTGCTAGCGTGTTTTGTTTTTTGAAAGCAGGGTCACAGCAAGCCAGATTGGAAAACACTACAAATACTTTGGTGATCTAAACTTAATTAGGTAGGATAGTATCTTGTTAATTGAGTCTAAGCTCTAGAATGTGTGTTAGGATTTGGTTTTACATGTCATCATTTATTTTCCATAATTGAACTTGCTACTTTTCAAATCTCTATAGTTGGTTAAATAAACTTTAACTTGCTTTCACTATAAACATATGCAAGTGCTGTGGGTTAAACAGAGAGATCATCTAAGATGGAACTAGTAAGCGGGGGATACTGTTTCTTAGGGGGAAATGGATATATGAATTCTCTGTGTCCAGCGTACCAGGGACTGAACACTCCATGGGGATATTCAAAAGGGCTTTGGGGGTTGGAGTGTGCCTCTAGTATCCTGCAGATGGATAACAGAGCCTGCATATGCTAAGAAGCTTGTGTTGCCTGAAGCTGGTGAAGTCAGGGAGGTCACACCTAGCGGACACAGACAAGACTTACTTATACTTAAGGCGGGTGGTGGTCAGGTGCCTCACAACCCTGGGTACCCCCAAGAAGTGACACAATGAGTCCCTACTCAGTTTTCTTTTACTGTACTAGTAGTAATAATATTAATAACTTAGGAGATGTAGTAAAACTGAAGTTGCATTTAAAGCTTTGTGTGAGTTTAATTACTTGCAATATATTGGTCAACATGACACTGCGATGAAATCCCGAGATCACGATAATCCAAAATACATTGAAGACGAACAAATGTGTAAGTGCTTTATTATTAAAATAGCACACACACAAACAATTTTCTTTGTATTAAAATTAAGAAATTCACAAACAAAACTTTATTAAACATTAGTAGAGGTTGCTCTCATCAATCAGTTAAAACATTAACAAAAATAGACACATGAAGATGACTCAAAGGTTGCAATGTCAAATGCTCTGAAGTTAGGAAATGGCAGAATGAATGTTGCTCATACAACCTAAACTCAGCTGCTTTACTTGTATACATTATGATACAGACTTCAGTTATGTGTAGAAGAGACTATCTGTGAAATGTTTGGTGTAAGTGACTTGCTCAGCATCATGTGAGAAATTGGTGTTAACTCTTCCTGCAATTCACTCCTTCGTTCACTGCACACCTTCCAACTTCTTCAACAGATAAGTCAGGAGTCCTACAGACAGACTCCTTTGGTACTCAACTCCAATTCATCACCAGAGCACATCTGTCCCATGCACTGAATGAATGGGGGTTCCTGTTGGGGGAGGGAGGGGAAAGAGAGGGGAAATGATGTCATGTAACTAATGGCATACACATAAGCAGGCCAAATTAAGTTGCATAGGCACCTTCATTTAGGCATTTTCTACATTGAGAGCTGAACTTCACAATCTTTTTAATCCTTAACTGTGTTTCCTAATTCTTCCTTGGTGAAAGCAACCTTGACTAACAGTAAACAATGCTTATCATAATTCACAAACAAAACAGTCTTGCTCAAATAACGTCAGAAGTTTGTGATAAGAGCTAGAAAGGGAACCCAATTGTGTAATGTTGTCTAGGTAATTCACAGATAAATTGATTTAGTTTCAGGCCAGTTGGCTGTTTCTGTGAAAACAGAAGTGGGTCAGGAGATGTCAAATATGAAGTCCTCTCCGGTATAATTTCTCACAGAAGTTCTTTATATGCACTGAGAGCTTCAAGCTGCAATAAGTGATTCTGACAAATATACATTTATCAGCCACAAAGGAAGAAAGGGGTGTTTGGGCATTTTAGGTTGTATATGCTTCCCTTCAGGAAGGCAAGTTGATGGTCTCATTCAAAGCAATGTCCCCCCCCCCAACCCCGTAATTGCTCAAGAAACTGCCATTTGTTACTTACTATCTTACTTGATTCTCTGTTGCTGTGAACTGCCGTATCACCATTAAACTTAATTTACATTAGTAGAGATACTGGCCAAAGTTCCTAACTGTGTAAAATTATTGAGATGATTGGAAAAGTTCATGACAAGGCAGCTCCGGCATTCGGATATATTTATTTTTGACCCTACATTAGACTATACTCAAAGACTACCCAGAAACTGCAGCTCATGCAGAATGCAGCTATCAGTCTGCTTTTTCAAGTTTCTCCTGCAGACCACATGCCTGCTCTATAAAGGCTCCACTGGCTTTCAGTTCATTTCCAGCTGCAAATTAGAATGGTGGGTTGAGTTGTAAAGTTCTTTATGGTTTGGGCTTTATTTATATTGAAGACATAGTGCCTTCAGCAGTTAAGATAATTTTGGAGCGCACAGGTTGGCAGTCCTCATATTCGTATGTTTTGGGCCAGGAGAAACTTATTAGAAGGCGCTCAATTTGAATTTGCCTGGTCTGAAAGAGCTAGTTTCTGGTGACTTTCAGGGTATCTTGCAAAGTCGATTGTATTTATTTACTTAAGCTTCTAGAGGGGGAGTGAGCAGAAAGTCTTTTGGTTTTGCTCAAGGAGTTTTTATTGCTATTAGTGACATTGTGTCAGTTTAGATTGATTATGGTATATGTCTGTATAGTATTGTTCACCTAGAAAGTATAAGCTAGATCAATGGAGCTACAGAGATTCATACCAACTACAGAATTGGCCCTATGGTGGGCATATTGCATAAGTAAAATAAATAAATACAAATCGTTCTGCAATGCAGTAGAATTGCACAGAAAGCAAATGCCACTTTGGCTACACACGCAAATGTGTCTACTCTGCTGTCCATTACTTTTTAAAGGTGTTTTTTTTTTAATATTTCCTTCTCTTTGAATGCCTGTGTGTTCTGTTTTGTTGTTTTTGTTGTTTTTTTTCTCCAGGCATACTTTATATTGCTTGTATTTTTTTGTCCAGGTTAGTTTCCTGTGAGTGTTTGTTCAACCCTTTCCTTGTAGCAGCATGCCTCAAGTTAGCGTCACCTCTAAACTTAATTAATATATTAACAGCTAGTCAATATTTCATTATTATTAGTTACTCCTGTGCTTTATACCAACCTTCTTGACATTCTTAATATACTTTTTCTTTAATTTTGATGACTTGGCAATTAAGAAAAAAATAATTCAATCCAGATTATCCACCTTGGTTTGTTCTGTATGCAGCCAGGGCATTTGTTCCAAATAGTTCCCTGATATTCTTCTCTAAATGCACATATATCTGTGTGCATATCTTAATAGCTTATTCATTTTATTGGGCATTAAGTCAAAATGTGTGCATGGGGGCTTAATTTATCCATAAGTGAAGTATTTAAATTCTTATCCCATTTTAGAGAATATAGTATAGCTTGCTAGTAATGGTTAGATTTAACATATGAGGTGTTTCTTCTTTTACTTCTCTAGATGAAAAATTGAAGCAGCATCAAGTAGCTAAACTGCAAAACACAATATGTTCATGTCCCAAACTTAAAAGTGTTAATACTGATGTGTTTTTTTTCTTACAGAGCGCAGATATGAGTCCTGCCAGTAGTACCACTTCACTTCCTGTTAGCCCACTTACTGAAGAGCCAGTGCCTTTCAAGGTAAAGTGAATTCATTGTAGAATAAATATTTTATGACTGTTGGCTTATTAGGTTGTGTTTTCTGCGAGGTGCCCTTAATAGCAATTCCCTTTTATTAAATTGGTACTAGCTGATATCTCAGCATTCTTCTGAGCAAGCCGGTAACATCATAGCATGCACTTGAGAAGACATTGTGAAAATAAAATGGTTTGATTGTAGGAGGATTATTTTTCTTCTGATGATCAAGGTTAGAGGTCTAAACGATCTTTGAAAAACAAACAAAATATTTTTTCAGTCTACTAAGGTTGTGATATGTTTGTGATATCTCTGATATTTTCCTTTTATTTCTGCTTAATTTGTGTTTCAATTTAATTTATGCTTTTGTACATCAATTTACTAATCCATCACCATTAAATCCTCTGGCCAGAAAACAGTTTTACAGTTGATCCATTGCAAAACACTTAAATCTGATCTCAGATCATACTAAATATGCTTAGGAACTTTAATTATGAAAGAAAGTAACTTTAAAATATTACTTCATAAATGTACTATTGGGCCAAAAGTAGTAAAGAAATAAAACAAATAACTCTGTAGAAATGAGACAGATGAAATGGGGCTAGCATGGGTCAACTGCTACAGTTCTGTAGCTAAATCCAGCTGATTATAGCTAAAGGTGCTTTGGAAAGCAGTACTTGAGTAGCCTTTATCATGTCACAGAGAGAGTGTTCCTTTCCATCATATAAGTGAGAATGGATAGGTGTTTTTGCTTAGTCAAACACATTGACTCCTTGATGCAATTGGTTTTGGGTTGCCCCCAGCCACGTGAAGAGAGTGGTGACTGAATGACAGCTTTAACACAAATGATCTTTACTGTGCTTGGGCATGAAACTAAAGAACGTATACTGAGGAGTTACTTGAACAGTGGCTTCAGGGCACCAGGAGAAGACGGAGCAAGAGAGAGTGCTGATGGTTGACTAAAATGGTGCAAACATAGTTGCTTTTGCTGGAGTTCTGAAAATGGAACTGCTTCGCCTATGGGTTCTAAGATTTGCTCTGCCTTCACAATCCAAATACTTGATAGTATAAATATTTTTGCAGAAAATGCACTAAAACACTGTATTCGGTGTTTGCATCCACTCTCTTTTTTCTTAGCAAAGGAGTAGGGATTTAATGGAAACTGGGACAGTAGCACACACCCCTGCAGATCCTAAGCTTGGTGCAGCTGATGGGTCAGTTTGCCATTTACCTTGTCTTGGTTTCTGAGACCCAAAACAGTCCCAAATTATTGCAGTTGAACAGCTTCTCTACTCTGCACCAGTGGGAGTGGCCTGCTGGCACTGTCCCTCCCCTCCCACTAACATCCTTCTAATCTGAGGGGAATCCACAGCTGCCTGTTGAAGGTGTTTTTAAGCGCCCTTTGTGCTGTTGGAGCTGAGGGCACAGCATCAGGACCAAGAATCGGACCCACATTGCAGAAACAAAATTCAGTGTATTAAATGTTAAACTCCTCATCAAGGGCCAGATTCTGTTATAGACCCACTGAATTTGTCAATCCATCCCAATAGTCTTGAAATCCAATGAGACTACTCGCAGAGCAAGGTACTACTCAGCATGAGTAAGGGTGAGAATCTAGCCCTAAACAGTTAATCTAGTCATTTAGGACTAGATCCTCAGTTGATATGAATCAGCTGAGCTCCACTGACTCCAAAAGATTTAGGCCAATTATAGTATAGTGCGTTAACTTTAAAAAGAAGATGGTGTTTGAATACCTAAGACTGGTGTGTAAAAGAGCCAAATAGTCAGTGTTGTTCTAATAACTAGACTTAAATGTTACTTCATTTTACGCTATATGCTGTGAAAATGGTACAAGATACTCACAATAAAATCAGCATATTTTGACTGCACCTATTTATCACTGGCACCTTCTTTCATTTCCATTCACTTTTGAAAACAGGATAACTACTTTGTTCTGGAATTCATGTACATTTTGAGGTCAGGCACAAGAGAAAGTCAAATACATCTCACAGCCAATGCCATTAAGTAGAAATAAAGTAATATAAAATGCAACAGTTTTTCTGTTATTGCTTCCTGACTCACTCCAAGAGAAAGCAATATTGTTCCAGCAGTAATGTGAGTGAGCGGTTTTACAAGCTATAGCCCTTTCCAAATACTGTCAGCATGTAATATTGGCTTTTGATGACAGGCAATGTATTACTCTGGCCAGTGCAATCATAATCCCTCCCACCTCTCTGCTCCCATGAAGAGAACAGAGGTGGAACTAAACAACAGAGTTACAAGCACTAAGTCTTTGGGATAGTTAATGATCTTCTGTATGCTACTGAGCTTTTACATTAGATTGTGAAATTAAACCAAATCACTACTCATGATCTTTCAATACTGAGATTATCCTAGAAATTATAGCTGTCCTTTCTTGTATTTCTCTCCAACGGGAGAAAATCTGTAGTCCTCTGTAAAGAAAGAAATCCCATAATCCTGATCCTATTATCCAACTAGACTAAAGCAAAATTATAATTGTAATGCAGAGTCCTTTGGGTTATGTGCTATATAAATGCAAATTGGTGTTAAGACTGTTGTTGCAACATTAAGGTTATGATTTTAATCACAGGAAAATTGGAGATAAAGTTCCCAGAATAATCCTTGCTATGCCATTTCCCTTCCCATTCATAACATCCCAGATTAATTTATGGCCCAGCTACCACCTGTAATGGATCCTGCAGCACTTTGCCATTATATTTACCACATATCAGATCATGTTCATCTGTGAACTCCAAATTATGCGAGAGCAGATTTGGAAAGACTCAGAGGCAACTCCCAATTCAGTGAGAGAGGCAGCAGCTGGACCCATTTTTTTTTTTCTTTGATGCAATCAATTGAGGTATTTCAGTGAATACAGCATCTATCTGTGGTTCTAGGTGTTGCACAAGAATTAGAATGCAAACCTTGGAATAAAAACAAGAAATAAAATAAACCATCCTCCAGGCCATTCACACTTAAAAAAAGAAAAGAAAAGAAAAATCCTCATAAAAAATGAATAAATAAAAAATAATATATTTGAAGACATTCATCTCATTACTGTAATGGAAGAGTCAGCTTTTGCCTGGAAGGAAAGAGGAACTTTGCAGAGTAGCCAGAAGGCTAACAAATCAGTGCACATCTTCAGTACGCTTTCCCCGCATAGCTAGGTTAGGCTCACACTTACATGCAGAGCAGCATTCTGTAGCTATGCATTTTAGAAGCTTAACATAAAAATCTTGTTCAGACATGCCTGCAGACAGTGCCGTTTTCAAATGATCTTATCCCATTCAAATCAAAACCAGTTTTCAATTAAACATTCAAAGGCATTTCTCCTCAACTTTCTATCCTCAGCTATTTCTACTGTTGAAGATTTTTTTAAAAAGTTTCACTTTCCCTCTTAATGAAAAATAAAATTCTGCATTTTCTCATTTTCATCTGAATGTTTTTTGCTTAAGGTGTTTTTGTGTGGTGTGTGTCAGAAGAATATCCCTGGGATGGGGGAGGGATAGCTCAGTGGTTTGAGCATTGGCCTGCTAAACCCAGGTTGTGAGCTCAATCCTTGAGGGGGCCACTTAGGGATCTGGGGAAGAATCAGTAATTGGTCCTGCTAGTGAAGGCAGGGGGCTGGACTTGATGACCTTTCAAGGTCCCTTCCAGTTCTAAGAGATAGGTTATCTCCATTTATTTATTTATTTTAATATCCTTTGGATAGAGCTTAGTCCTCTATCCCCCATGTGGAGTGTCTTGTAGGATCAGGGCCTAAACCTGAAAAAAATATTTTTGAATGTTGAAAATTGTCGAAAGTTAGGAACAACTTGAAAACAGGAGGTTAAAATGGAAACTGTCATATAACCTCAAAACTAGTGGTCATCCTTCATTATACTGATTAAATAGCAACCAATGTGAATAAGATTTCATTACATCAAGTTACATCCATACAAATTTCAAGCTGTTAAAGAATATTTTTAGTGTACCGAGTACTACTTTAATAACTAGCTAGCTAATGTTTTTCAATTTTTGGGGGTACATGCATTTTGAAAACCAACCCAGGGAAGGGGTGTGGGGGGGAAGGGGGAGAGGGAGGGGTATTGTTCAAGAAAAATTAACTCTTCAGATCAACTTCCAAGGCATCATTGGTGGTATTTTCAGGACATGATCATTTTCCCTCCTTACTCAGTCCTCCTAAATGGCCATTGTGGTCCACTAGCAATTGGGAGTTGAGGATGCTCAGGGCCATTAATTGGAGTGGCCACAAATGTGTGATCATGGCAGACATGTAAACAAATATTACTCATCACTGATGAAACCACCCACCAGAGAGAGATTCTTTTTCCTAGATTTCTGGTAGACGTGTATGTGGGTGGAGAACTAGCTCTTGTAAACTTGATATTTTTTCCTGAGATGAGACAAGCTGGCAGCTTTTTCTGCCTGTGACCCTTTCCCTCCTTCCATGTTCTAATGGCAAACCTACAGGATACTTGGGGTCCATTGAAAGAAATTACACATGGTACTTTCTGTGAGTTATCTTTCCGTCCATGCTGATTGGGGAGTCTCTTAACTGGAAAAATACTGCATGAACGTTATTAAGCATGTCCGAAATAGGGTGGTGGTGCAACAACCAATCATGATGAGGAGTCACTGGGGCTACCATGAGGTTCAAACTTTATCTAAACAAGGTACAAGTCAGGAAATGACGACTAGTGTAAGTTTTTAAGAATGGAAGGCTATTTGCAGGCAGGAATATCTTAGAGATTAACACCAAACTTTTAATGGAAAATATTGGCTTTAACCATGCACAGGACACTACCCTCATTTATAAACACACTTTTTTATTTTTCAAGTACAGCTGGAGTATAATGACAGAGCCTTTAAGAAAAGAAGGCTGGGTCTGTCACTTACATATTTGTACAGCACCTGGTACAATGGGATCCCAGTCTGACTGGTTTGTAGTTGCTATCACAGTATGAATGTTGTTAATAATGTTG